GGTTTTTCGCCGGGCCTTTTTTTAAACGCCCGTAACAAATTTGCCGGGAATACGTCGTATATCCGGTAATTTACCGAAAGCTTTAACCGGAACGCTAAACCGGCTAACCTAACCATTTTTAAAATTTAAAAAGGTCCTAACCATTTGTTCGATAGCTTTTTCGACGGCCTTTTTATTTTAATGTTCGTTATATTTAGCAATACCCAATCGCTTACCCCGAAAAGCACCGGGGTCCTGCTTTTATTATAGTATTTTTTGTACATATTATTCGTTTTTTTTAGCAATTTTTTGGTTTGCTTTTTAATTGCTTCCAAAGCCTTCGCTTTGGTTTTAACCGTTACCAAAGGTTTTTTTTTAATTACCCAAAGGTTATAAAGCTTTTATAAGTAAAACCTTATTAGCAAAAACGCCGGGGTTTTTTGCGACCCTAAATGCACGCTTATATTGTGCATTTACGCTGTTAAATGCAATAGCAACGCCTAATCGTTTTGCCTTTCGCAATAAAAGTACCGGAAGTAATGCTTTATTGCTTGGTTCGTTCGTTCCGTTTGCCCGTTGGTTTAAAAGTAATATGCTATCGATAGCTTTTTTGCAACCCTTAAATGTCCGGCAAAAATTATTTAAAACCCGTTTATAAATAATTTGTTTCGGTTCGATACAATCCCTTTAAGCGTTTTTAACAGCTTTTAAACGTATGCAAATAAAAGGTTTTTTAATTTTTTATTGGTTAATTTCGTAAACGTTAGGATAAAAAAGCTATATTTAATAAACCGATCGACCATTACCAATATTGCGTTGCGCTTTTTGCCGGTTTTATTTACCAATATTAAAAACTTTCCGATAAAATCCATTAATAGCTTTTGTTTCGGGCGGTTTGGCACGGGCAAAAATGTTAATAACCCGTAAAGTGCTTATATTTTTGGTTTCGTTTGCTGGCATATTTAATACGTCCGTACGTATTTGCGTACGTTTTTAACCATACCCGGCCATTTAAATTACCGTTTAAACTTTTTTAAAGTTTTGGCCATGCTTTTGTAACCCCCCGTTAGGTTATCGTATTGTTTTTAAAGCATTGTTCGTTTAAACGGTGCTAAATTCGGAATTTAAATTTTTTTTTTGTGCTTAAATAAGCCGTTGCTAATTTTTTAAACGTTGGGTTTGTTTTTTTAGGTACCGCTTTAAACGAAATCGTTTTTTGCTTGTGCTTTAAAAATGCGCTTTAATATCGTTTTGGTGTTTTTTTTAGTAATGGTCGTCCTTACGTAAGCTGCTTTTCGGAATTTGGCCAATAAATTGTTTTGGAATTCCTTTTTTGCTATATTGGCTTTCCCGTTTATTGGTATATTTTAAAAACGTTTTAACAAGTTATTCGTAAGGTTCCGGTATTTTGGCTTTTATTTAATCGTAAAGTTATACTTTGCTAAATTTTCGAGCCATTTTATTTAGCGCTTTATTACTTTTTCTTTTATTAAAATATGGGTATGGTTTAAATGGTCGGTAATTATTTTAATAATTTTTTGTAAATAAGCCAAATAATGCCGTTACTTTTTAAAAACTTTTACGATTGCTAACAATTTTAAATTAGGAATTGTATAACGCAGCTTTTTTTATTGTAGTTTTTTTAACATGTAAGTTATTGGGTGCTACCGGCCGTTTTGCAATTGCAATAGCACCGTTTTTATCGTAAAAGCCAAAGCGTTGGTCCGTACGTACAACGGTTTTAAAAGGTCGAAATGCACTAATACCGGAATTTTCGTAAATAGCAATTTTAATTTGCAAAAAGCTTTTTTCGCAACATTTTTTAAGTAAAATACGGTATTTTTGCTAAAAAGGTTCGTTAAAAGCACAATAATTTTTGCGTAACCTTTTACAAATTTCCGATAATACCCCGTAAAGCCCAAAAATACCTGGATATCTTTAACGCTTTCCGGTATTTTCCATTTTAAAATTGCAATAACTTTATCCAGCAGGATTTCAATCCCGAATTTGGTTATTTTAAACCCTAAAAAATCGATATTATCCGTTTCGAATTCGTATTTGGCCGGGCTAACGTAAAATTTAAATCGTTCGAATCGTTCCAGCACCGTTTTTATTGCTTTGCGGTGCTTTTTTTATATTTTCGAAAAAATAAAAATGTTGTTTAAATATACAATGCAATTGCTATTAATTAATTTTCCAAGCGCTATATTAATAAAGTTTTAAAACGTTATTAAAGCGTTGGCCAAACCGAAAGGCATTATTAAGTATTTATAATGTTTATATTTGTAACGGAAAGCAATTTTTTATTTATTTTTTTGTCGGATTCGTATTTTGTAATAAACGTTTTTTAAATCCAATTTGGTAAAGTACTAGCTTTTAAATATTTGGTTAAATATTTTGTAAATTAGCGGGAATGTTAACCGGTTTTTTTGGTAATTTTGTTAAAATTCCGATAATCGATATAAAAGCAAAGCTTCCCGTCTTTTTTTAAAACGAATAAAATTTTGGCGCCGGCGGGGCTAGTTAAATGCCGGATTTAACCTTTCGTTATGGCTTTATTAAGGTACCCCCGGAAAGTTTTTAATTCCTTTTTGGATAAAGAATAAATGCTTTCGTAAGGCGGTATCGTTTTTTTTTTAATTTAATCGCGTAATTTTAGCTTATATGTTTTAGCAAAAGGTTCGATTTATAAAGCTGCGCATGTTTTGCAATTATCTTTTTAACCCATTCCGGGAAAGCTTTTAGCCTTTTTCCGGGGTTTTTTGGGGTTTTCGGGCGTGCAACCGTTAATACGGCTATCGTTTGTTCCGATTGGATTAGCTTTTTAGCTATTTTCGACGAAATTATTTTAACTTTTTTGGTAATTACTAAAAATTTCCATTTTATATCCCCAAACCGGATTTTAATATCCTTTTGCTAAAGCTAAAGCATGCTTAACGTAATGTTGTACCCGGCCCGGGGCATTATTACGTAAAATACCATTAACTTTTGGGTTATTTTTTAACTATTCGTTATTTAAATTTTGTATTTTTTTACCTTTAGCGTAAGCATGCGTTTTTTGGTATCGAATTACGCTAAATAGCCCCCGTTTGGTACCGGTATCTTTTTTGTTTTTATTAAAAAACGGTTGTGCAATAAATTAACGTTGTTCCCATTATTAACCAACGCTTTTAACTTTACCCGGCAACCGTTAATTCGTAAATACATTTCGGTTTTTTAGCGCGTCCTAACCGTTAAAGCGCATTTTTAAGCCCCGGTGCTTAAATGGCTAAATAGCGGTATCGAATTGGATAGCGATATTTTGCTTTTTTTAAAGCACGCCGGCCGGATATAGCTTAGCTTTCCATACCCGTAATACCGTACTTCGGGCCTTTTCCTTTTTGCTTTTTGTATAGTTGTTAAAGCCAATGGGGTTTCCGGGTTATCCGTCCGTATTTTGCATGCTATAACGATATAGCTTAATTGCCCGCATTTAAAGCAAATAACCGGCTTTTTAAAGGTTAAAATATTTGTATTCCCCGGGGTCCTTTTGTACGGTCCCGATATTATTTTTGCTTTAAAAGCTTTGGTTTGCAATTTTTCCATAATATAAGGAAGGCTTTTAAATGTTACCCGTTTTTGGATTTTAAGGCGGAATCGGTTAAAAAGCAATATCGTTTTTATTTATTTGGGTATTAGTTCGAAAAGGTCGTTTTTTACCAAATCCTAATAAATCCGGAACGTTTTAAACAATTTGTAATTTTTTTGCTTAATAACGGTATTTTTCGCGAACTTTTTAATCGCTAGCTATATTTGCAAATTGGGGTTTTTCGATTTTGCTTAAAGCTACCGCAAAAAATTGGTTTAAATAAGCAATACCCCGGTATTTAAGTAATGCATTTGCTTGTATTTTGTCCATTGTGCCCGTTAACGATAATTAAAAGTGCTAAAAGTTATTTAAACCTTTATACGGTTTTTACCGTAGCGTTTTTTTTCGTTTTCGAAAATAAATTTGTAATTGCTAATATAATGGGCAATGTTTTGCTAAATTACCGATTTTTTAAGCATAAAAGGTTTAAAAGTAATTTTGTTTTACGTAAAACCTTTTTATTGTTTAAAAGTATTTTTTTTATTTTCGTTTAAACCTTTATGCGCATGTTTTAACCTTTTGTTTTGGATTTTTTAAATTAAACGGGCGCGTTTGCTTTAAGCTTTTAGCGCGTTGTTTATTTTTTGTAGCTTTTTTACGGAAAGGTTTTCGAAGTTATCGGGAATTTGCGGGGTTTTTTTAATATTTTGTTCCGGTAACTTAACGGCTTTTTCCAACGTATTTAACGTAGCGTCGGGCGTTATTATAAGCGGTGCGAAATCGTAAATGCCCTTTTTAAGCTTGCTCGATCTTTTCCGGTAATTACCCGGGCCTATTCCTTAAATAAAAAAAGTGTAAAAAAAGGAATAATATGTTAAAGGTTAATCGGTGCAAAAGCGGGTAATTACCGGGTTACGGGCTGGATACGGTATTTTTTTTGTTAAACCTTTGTAAATTTCTTACCAAAAGTGTTATCGCTAACAAAAATTGTTTTTTTTTTAACTTTCTTTTTTTTCGTGCCCTTTTAGGCACCCAAAATCGGTCCTTTAAATTTTTCGCGTTTTAAGCGCTTTCGTACAATTTAAACTTTACCTTATCTTTTAGCTTCGCCATTATACTTTAGCCGCGATACCGGTAATTTGCCGGCATGTCCCCGGGGGGTTCGTGCCCGGCTGGCTGCCAGCGCCCCCTTTTTCCTTTTTTGCCGGGCGGTTTCGTCCGTGCATTTAACGCTCCCCGCTTTTTGCCGGGCGGTTTCGCCCGTGCTCCTAACAGTATAATAATCGCGCCAATGCTAAATTCGGTATTTTTTACTCCAAAAGCTACAAAATGCTTGGGTGCTTTGTAATCGATTTTAAATTTTTTTATGTGCTATTGTAATGCTTAAATTTGGTTAATTCCAACCGTTAAATTAGCTGCCGCGCCGGTATTTAGCAAAATGCCGTGCCATTGGGTATTGTTACCAATGTTATTGTAAATAAGCATTTCGTAAATAAAAGTTTTAATCCTGGCTTTTTGTGCTTTTTAAACGTTTTTTGCAAACAAACGGTGCTTTTATAATTTGTTTATAAAATACGATGCTATATTTTATGTAAAGTACGTTATTGCATATTCCTTTTGGTTGCTTTCGTAATTATAATTATTAAATGGCTTTTCGTTATCCTTTTTTAATGCGCTTTCGCTTTTTAAATCGTTTGGTTTAATAATCGAAAGGAATTTCCGATAACCAATTAGGGTTTTGCCTTTGTTTTTTTGCTTTTAACGCTAGCGCTTCCTATGCTTTTTTTGCTTTTTCTTTAAATGCTTTGTTAATTAGCAATCGGGCTTTTTGCAAATTTAACAACTTCGTTTAGCATATAAATTGTAAGCTCGTTTTTGCTTCCATCCTTGCTTTTATTAATTTCGTTAATTTTTGCTTTCGTACTTTCGTTCCGTATAATATTATGCCGGAATTTTATTATTGTTTTTAATTTTTATAATATTACAAAATATATCGGAAAAGCTTTTAAAAATATCGGGATGGTTAAATAACGCCATTTCGAGCTCGGGAATTTTTTAAATTGCTTTTGCTATATTCGTTACAAATTGCTATTTATTGCTAAAGCTTAAACTTAACGCTCGGTAATATCGTTGCAATTTATCGAAAAGTTTTTGCAAAATTTCGATATTCGTTTTTTCGGTGCTTGCAAATTTTAAACGAACGGTTTGGAAATGGATTATCGTCCAATTTATCCAATACTAAGCTTGCACAATTTTTATTTTAAAATAATTTTTAAATACAAAATAAATGGTTTAAAAAGTAAATATAAAGCCAATGTAATTAACGTAATATTCGTTCGCTTTGCTTTTTAAAATGTAAAAATATAGCGCGTAAAGTTATTAATAATTTATCCCGAACATTTAAGCGTAAATTGTAAAATAAAAAAGCTTATTGTTAATAATGTTATACGGTTTTCCCGTATACGAATATATATCGTTTTAAATGGTTTTAAAAGTGCGTATGGTAATTGCGTCGATCGGTGCATTGGCCATTTCCCGTAAAAGGATTTAACGATAGTTAATTTTTTTAATATAAAAGTAACGAAATAAAATGTAAAAGGGTTGGTTATGTAACGAGTGGTAGGCATAACTGGAAGGGTTTAATAACGGTTTTTAAAGGGGCGGTTTTCGAAAAGGCGGTTTAAAAGGTAACGGAAGCGAAAAGTATTGTTTTATATTCCGTGCGCTTAATTTTTGTTTTTCCTTTGCGCATTTGCGCTTTAAAACGTTAATTACGAAATTTTCGTGCTTTTGTTTTTTTATTTGTAACGGGTATTTTGGCTATAGTTATGTAAGCTAGGGTGGTTAGAAAAATTGGGGTGGAATTGTGCTTTTGCGCTTTTTCGCAAAGGTATACCACGGTTTTTGCTATTTTTGGAACGATATAATTCGAAAGTTAAAGCGAAAAGGTAATTTTATTTTGCTTAATGCTTTTGTAAAAATTATTGGAAAGTTTATTTTTTAGCTTTTTTGCGCTTTAAATTGTGCTTCCGGTAATTGTTCGTTTTTTACCGCTTTTTGCGTTGTATCGATTGGTTAAAGGAACGTTTTAAAAAGTAATTAACGGGAAAGCATAAGGTTCGGAAATAGCAATTTTATAAGCTTTTTGCCTTTGCTTTTGGTTAATTATAACGCTAAGCTTAACGTAAGGTTTGGTTTTACAATAAAGGTTTGTAATTAGCTAAAAATTTCTGCCAATTTTTCGCCGAATGTTTTTGGGTTAAAAGTAAAAAAGTGGATTTTTTGCTTTCGGAAATAGCTTTATAAGGATCGTTAAATCGTTGGATTTACCGCGTTAAAATTTGTTTTAATCCAATCGTTAAAGTTTTTTTTAAAATTGGTTAACGTATCGTTAGGATTTAACTTTTTCCGATTGTTATACATCCATTTAATAATCCACGTATTTTTGCCGATTGCGGAAACGCTTATTGGGTACTTAACGATTTTGTAATTGGGGTAATTAAGGAAAGGGAAATAAAAAATCGACAAAAGGTTTAAAGAAAGGCTTAAAATGTTAATAACTTTTTTTGCATAAAGTGCTTATTTTTCGCGAAACATTTTTGTGCTTGTCGGGCTTTAATTTTATTTATTAAAAATTGCGTAAACGGAAAATTTTCCTTTTTTTATAATAAAATGGTAAAAAAAATAGTAAACGGTATTATTTAAAGCAATCCGTTTTAGCTATTTAAACCGGGTTAAAATATTAACTTGGGGGATTGCACAACGCCTTTTTTTAAAGCTCTTTCGATTTTAATGGCCGAAAGCAAATGAAAAATGCGTTGCCAAGCGTCGAATTAACAATTTTTAGCTTTTAAATCTTTTACTTAACCTTAATTAACTAAAGGACCCTTTTTTTTGCTTTTTTATATTGCTTTTTGCAATATTAATTAATGTAAGAAAAACTTTAGGGTAAAATCCTATATTCGTGGATTTCCAAACGGCGTAAAATTAAGGTTTAATAATTATTAAAAGGTAATTGTTGCAGGCAGAAGGGATAAGCACGGTGTAAGGCTACTCCGGTTAATTTGCTTTAAGGAGGAAAGGATTTGAAGTGCAGGGTCCCGTAAGGGCCTCTGCCCTTTATATACACGTAACTCCCTGTCCTCTTTGCTTACTAAGCTTCCCTTTTAACGCTTGGAAGCGTTATACGCTTCCAGGCAGGGGGACCGCTTTTCCGATGCCTTAAGCATTTAATATTTATGCTTAAAGCTTTTTTATAACAATATATACTGTTTACTTTGTAATACACCCCTTAAGCGAGCCTTTTAGGTTATTTGTAAATAAAACAAAAGGAAATTGGTTGCTATATTAATAGCGTAGGATTTAAAAGCTTACCGCGCTTTTAAAAGTTAATTGTAAGAGCGCATTAGCCTTAAAAAGTAACGAAGCAAGCGTTTTCCGCTTTTAAAGGGTAACCGTAAAAGCGCATTAGCTTTGAAAAGTAACGAAGCAAGCGCTCCCCGTTGCTAAAGGCAACGAAACAAATGCTTTAGCTACAAAAAGTAACGAGGTAAATGCTTTAGCTATTACCGGGAAAAGGTAAGCGTAGCAATTAAAACCCTTTTTTTTTATTTCGTTCCGGCCTTCCTTTTTTTCCTTTTTACCACCATTTTTTTATTAATTCGTAAGTTTTTACGCTTTCGTTCCTATCGTTTAAGCTTTTGTTAATATAAAAATTTTCGCAAAAGCAAAAGCAAGCAATTGTAAGTGCTTTACGCGGCGGCGTAATGTTTTAAAAACGTTGTGCGGTATTAATA